TAATTCTTAATGACACAATTATTTAACTATGGCAAGTAGTTAAATTCCAACAAACTTTTGGTCCATTACATCACAACTGGCATCACTAGTGTGCATCTTTCAAAATGTAAAGATACAGACAAACCCTGGGACCTGCTTGCAGTTAAGCAATCCTCAAGGTTATGCCAATGCCCAGGGACTATACCATAAATAAAGAAAGTTGTGCCCAAAAATAAAACATTATGCACCCATACATAGACGGATTTGTACTCATAAATAAAGAAATTGGTATCCATAATCCAATAATCCACTTGTCAGTCAAAATTGGATTCCTTAGCATCAAAATTAAGGAATGACACCGATAATGACCATGCATCAGAACCCTAGTCCTTAACCACTTCAAACTAGAGAACAACGAATAGAAGATTAGGAATCACATAGATGAAGACTGACTAACTCATTTTTTTTCCTTCAAGATCATCCTCGGTAGAAAAAAGCCATAAACAGTCACTATCAACAAGGCGTAAAAAGTAACAAGGACTATGATGTGTTCGTTTAATAACTGAAAAATCTTGTTCCCCTAATTTGAAGTAGTCAAGACTAGAAATCGGTGATCGAGATCTTACATCCCGTAACGTACCACAAAAAGGTGATCTACCCACGTTACGGGACATCTAGGACCGTTAGTTTATAATTACTTCTGGAGCACCTCCTGGATGGTGGCTACTGTCCTCAGATTTATGTTTTGTTTGCATTATAATATTCACCTCAGTTGAACATGCATGATGTTACGTACTACGCGCTTTAGTAGTTTCGAATATATCATTCCTAGTCATAATCCAGAATTTATGGAACCAGATACTGGAGGCATTGGAACAGATGCCAATGTGTCTACATGACAATGAAATTATCTAAAATAATCTTTCATGGCCATATCCTATGATTTGATATGCAGTATGATTCATTTGCCTCAAATAAGACTATGGACTAAAGAACTGTGTTCAGGATCACAGGAACCGATATCAATGTGACCATGTGTCACAGGATTCATCTCAAACTGTTTTCATTAGGCATATCTACTTTTTTGTCGTGATTGGAACCACCACATGATATGGTTCTCATGAATTTGATTATACCTTACCGTATCGGAATTTCGGAATCCCTGAACCGATACCAATGTGACCATATGCCAAAGGAATCACCACAAATAATCTTTATTGACCTTATCTTATCATGCTAACATGATTCGATATGCAACATGATTATTATACCGCGAATAAATAATAAAACCGATATAAAACCGAGTTCCACGGATTTCCCGGAACCGATGCCAATGTGCCCATCTGTCATCAGATAAACTACAACGTGATTTCATTGATCAAAGCTTGTCATTTTGGCATAATATGATATCATAACCTCATTGTAATTATATTCCAACAAACCGTTCGCCGGAATTCACTGATTCGCGTACCGGAACCGATGCCAAACTGGCCAAAATCATCTCAAATCATCTTCATTCACTTGATTCTACATATTTGACATGATTTGACATGTCACAAGATACTTTTGCCTGTGATATGTATATTTCCATAGAACCGATTTCCGTGACTCCCAGAACCGATAATATCGTAGCATACGTTATGGAAATATTTAAATTCAGTCTTACTAATCATTTGCTGCATCTGACAACCGATTCGCGTGAAAATTTAAAACATTTGGTCAAACTGGTTAAAAAAGTACAAAAAAAAAAAAAGAACACAGGCATATTTACATCTCTCAAGAACGAGGAGGGTTCTAAGAGGGTGGTATCTACGGTAAAAGTTAGTTCAACTATGCCCCTTGAATAAAAATCCAAGTTTATGAAAATTTGATGAGGCATTGCTGAGAACAAGTTTGTTGAAAAAAACGACGAACGGTCCTGGTACTTCAAAGTTAACTTAGTGATTTTTTTTGGCTTAATCGCATTCGGTTTTATATTTAATTTAAACACAGATAGCATACATCCAAGTCAAACTCTTAAAATGTGTAAGAGATTTAGCTGCTATTTTGAATAGACATTTGAAACTAGCAATCTCGTGGAGGCACAAGTGTCGGTGCCCATCGTCGTCGACCACCGGCAAGCGTCATCGTGACATAAATGTCAAAATTTTTGTGACCAAAACATTGTTTGTTTAAAACCGATCGCCCGAACTACAGGAGAATTTCTTCTCACGTGAAGTCCAAGCGCTTGCAACGAAAACGTTATGTTTCAACCACTTCCCCCCGGAGGCATTTCAAATTCCTGCAAGAACGGATGCAGGGTAATCAGTGTTCAAATCTTACCACATTTTTCTGAATTTAAATGAGGGTTAGTTGCGGAGATCAATCTGTATTCTAATAGGCTTCTACCTACTTGTGTTCCCTATGAAAACAGCGGCAAGCAAAACAACAACTCTTTGGAAACACATCTTGATGCCAAGCACAATTCGGATAGTGCTCTTTCGAACGAAATGGAATTCATCGAAAATGACACGGATTTCTGGGAATGGACTAATTATGCTCACACGAGTTTTTTATTCGAAAATAATGGTTCCGCAGAGACTCTATTGATTTACGTTGTTTTGTCTTGTTTGCTTTGATCTTATTTGACAGTTCGTTTGAATACACGGTCAATAAGATCAACGCAAATTTTAGTTCAGTTTACTCATTAATCGCAAAAACTGATAACTCGAGTCGCACCATTCCGTATGGCGGCGCTAACGTATTTTAATTTGAATTCTTACAAATAATTTTTCGAAAAATTTGTTTAAGCTTGGATGACTGTTCTCTGGGATTAAAATAAAAATCGCACAACCTGACGAATTTCCAAATACTTATGCAGTTTGACAGAAATGTCAATCGCAGTAAAATAACTCATTTGACCCAGTGATCCCTTCGGCCTAATCACATTCGACATAATGGCGTTCAGCATGTCAACAGCTGGCCTATCTCCATCTTAAAAAAATAAATAAATTAGTTTTGTTCCTCTGGGGACGCAATAAAGCCAAAGAAGTAAAAGATAAGATAACATTATTTATGAATATAATCATTGACCAATTGACCTAAATTCATACAATTAACCAATTAACCAACTGTACCATCATTACCTTAAGCGCAGAAGACACCCTGGGAAAATGATCCATTTTCCACAGCTACCTCTTCAACGACGACGGTGCCGACGGAGACGACCAACGACCACTTAGCACCATCAGACACGGATGATCTAATGCAACAGACTTGGGAAAATCCCACAATCCACCCCCTACCCGAGCGAAGAAGCGACATTTCGCCAAATGTCCCCTGCTAAATGCAACCCGATTATCGTATTTGTCACCGACCGATCCGATCCTCACCGGCACCGTGTCATGCCTGTTGATCGCACTTTTTTTCCAAGCAAGTGTTTTTGCTCCGCTTCACGCGCAGTGCAAGTCCATTGTTGTACCTTGAACTTTATGTAAGACTAAGACCCCTGCCGTCGAACCATACCCCGCAAGCAAGATACTTAAAGGTTAGTGCTACTGTTGCAGAGTTGCTGCTACCAGCGACGCTCAAGAGTCAAGTGTTGCAAAATGTGATTCGATTTAGATAGACAAAAACAAAACGCAGTGAAACAACAACAATGTTATTAAATCGACCCGGACCAGCAGCAACCGTTTGAACCTTGCTGAAGAGCGTATCGACAACAATCACGACCTGCAAGCGCGCGAAATTGCCAAATATATCGACGATTTATGAGACGAGAGAACTTGAAAATTGAAACTTCACGAAGGTGCTCTTTGGAGCGATCCCCGACTCGCGCAGGCATTTACTCTGAACCATCCTTAGCTGAACAGCCTGGAGGAGATAACTATGCAAAAAACAACAACCACTTAACCGGATTGGATGGGTTGTTTATAAATCGAATCGAACGACGACGGCGGATGGCAAATCGTGACAATTTGCTGGGAGAGTGCACATGGCGCGCTCGTGCGCCACTGAACGCAAACCGTGGAGTCATGTAGGCATCTATCTGTTCGAGATGATCTCCGAGAAATCAGGTGAACTGAAGAAGCTCGCCGGCTGAGAGCGGTGAAATAAAATTGCAATAAAAATCAAGCGCATGGTTGAACTATTGAGCAAGTCGACGATCGAGATTTTGATGTACAGCCACTTGACTATGATAATGTAACAGATCATTTTATTGCCATTGTTTAACGATAATGGGTCAAGTTTCAATGAGGTTTCAATTGAACGATAATTTACGTCGCTGTTAAGACAATATCAATTGCCGCAAATTTATTGATTTTCAAATTACTTACATACCTACTTAAGCGAAGGAGTGGTCTTCAGGCAAAGAATCCGCACACCTGGTGCAAAGATGGAGATAAATCTCAGGTAGTTTCGATCGCAAGCGTTTCGCTTCTCATCTTCACGCCTCGATCGATCACGATCGAACTTTACCGATGAAGTAATAAATAGCAATCCTGAACCGTTACTTCCCTCGCACATCCCCCCGGGTAGTGCCGTTTCTAATTACAGCTTTAATTTATTGTTATTCACTGGGGAAAATTATAATATTTATTGAAATTGAACGCGATCCCATCAGTGTGCATGAACGTGAACCCCGAGGATCTTTAGAACTCGAGCACGGCAAGTTAACAGTCGCAAATTGAAGCATGATGTCGTGCTCTAGTGAGTTGGTCGAAGGTAGGTTAGTTGGTAGCAGTAGTGTGTGGTGAAAATGGCGCAAACGTTTGATTCAATCGGACTGACGACCTTCGGAGGTTAGGAAGTTTGAAATTCGAAGATCACGCTTCTGTGGCTGTTTGTTTCCAGAAGTGGGACAGCAGATGGCGCCATTATTGGGATTCATCAATAGCTTCGTTAACCTGGGAAAATTTTCTTGGACTTAGTATAAGGACAATGTTTATGGTTTAAGAAAAGATGGTTTGGATTGTAACCAGTAGCGGTAGAATACGTGTTCGTAGTGCGATGCTGAGAAGTGCAAAGTAATGGACTCAAAGATGCGACCCCTATGGATTGTTTATCAGAATTCAGTCATAAATGGGGACGATATTAACATGATTTTCAAGAACGGTGACGATTTTCGGTAGGATATGCTCACATTGCAGATGCTGCGAATCATGGATCGAATCTGGAAAAGTCATGGATACGATTTTCAAATGAATCCGTACAGCTGTATCAGTACCGATCGCCGGTTGGGGATCATTGAGGTAGTGCTTATTGCCGAAACTATAGCTAACATGCAGAAGGCGAAGGGAATGTTCTCCATTCAAGAAGAGTCCCCTGTTAACGTGGCTCAAAGAGCACAACACAACGGACGCAATGCTGGCAAAAGTAATACAGGAATCCACGCTATATTATACAGGCTATTGTGTCGCAACGTACGTCTTAAGAGTAGCCGATCGGCATTCCGATAACATTATGGTGAAAAAGACTGGTCAGCTGTTCCATATCGATTTCGGCCACATCCTCGGCCATTTCAAGGAAAAGTTCGGTTTCCGTCGAGAACGGGTACCGTTCGTGCTGACACATGATTTCGTTTATGTGATCAATAAGGGTCGAACGGACCGAGAAGCTCACGAGTTTCGACAGTTTCAGTATCTTTGCGAAGAGGTGTTTTTAATTATAAGAAAGCACGGTTGTCTAATCGTATCACTGTTTGCCATAATAATCTCGACTGGTCTACCCGAGCTGTCTTCGGAGACGGATGCGCGCGAACATTTCAAGTCAAAGTTCAGTGAAGCCTTGACCAACTCGTGGAAAACGTCGCTCAACTGGGCTTCGCACAACTTCTCCAAGAACAACAAACAGTGACAGTTGCGTTACAATCTCACCATGTAAGCCCATCAAGGGACGAAACAGTGATTTCATCGACCGTTTCCCGTTACTGCTGGAAAGAAATTGGTAGAATATTGCTTTCAAAATCGTGGATAACAATTAATGATTGCAAGTCGAATTGTGGAACGGCGATGTACCGCCAGTGCAAAACACTTTACGTAGTCAATATATTGCGCATTTCGTGATTCATTTCTCTTTAGTATCTTCATCTAAATTGCGAATTTTCATAGCGCTAGTAAACAAATTGCGTGTACACATGTAGATGTCCTTTTGTGGCGTTGTACAGTTTTAAGAGTTATTTTTAGTTAATACAAGAAATCAAAGTGCATGATAGTTCAGTGATAATGAATAATATAGGCATAAATAGTCACGTTTTTAGTATACAGTTGAAACAAATTGTGTAATTTGCGTCTTCAGTAGAAAATTAGTTAGATTAGTTAAAAACAGGGAGCATGAATGGAGAGATTTTGTGAACTTTGTAATAAATTTGCGCAAAACAATTTGCTGGCCTCATTGGACCGGCCGATCCCATCGCACTAGCCTAGAGATATACCCCAAATAAACTGCAGATAGTTGCAAACGACTGATAGATCAAAACGTTTTATTAAAATTAACCTAAATGTAAATTATGGAAAACAAAACATTAATTATTTAAACTAAACTGTAACGAAGCAGCTTTTCAAGGCGTTCTAGTTTACTAATTTAAAATGTGGTTTAAAAGATTGTATAGAATAAGTTAATCAATTTTATGGCATAGCTTAACCGTAATCCTAACATCTAGTACGATTAGAAAAGGCGGAGTCGTCTTACAAACTTTAATGGATAAGCAACAGTAAAATTATTAACTGAAAATATAAACCACAGAACTCGAGTCCTGAAAACTTTTATCTTGGGGATCAGGATTTTTTCAGTAATCAAAGGAACACATTTTAGTCCTTAATATTTTTTTTTTTTTTTATAAAAAGAGACTTGGGTATGAAATGTTTGATTTCATATTTCAAATCAAAAATATTGTTTATGTTCATAGCTTCATAGAATAAACATAATCCTTTTCTCTTTGTTCTTCTCCTTTTCCTTTGCCCCTTCTTTTTCCAGAAAGTGATTAATGGCGCTATAGCCATAAGCCATAAAAGGCTAGGACAAGAGTTGGTGCTCATGTTCCAACCGTCAGAGGAAAATAAAGCATCACTTAACCTTGCCTAGCCTAGTTGCTTGCAATGCCAAACCAATCATATAGTTACCAAAAGCGGAACGTATGGTACGAGATGTCCACGTTTCATCCATTTATTAGGTCTGAAGCATCATGTTTTAATCACATTAAACAGGCATGATGTTTTCTGAATCATCTTGCCCCTTAAATGCTACACAGTGTGTCTGGTCGTTTTGGTATGTGTGATGCCTTTCGATGTGAAACATATATCAAATCAGTGTTGGGAAAATATCAAAAAATCAAATCTCACGACATCCCAAGATCAAGCATGATTTTCGTAGACAAAAAGCAACAAGCAAACAACTGCGGTTGATATTGCAAGCTGTGATGTCGCAGCTCGGAATATCAAGCTAACAAAACTGCACCAGCTGCAAATCTTACCAATCTGTGGTGAGATTGAGTTTCATGATTTTTGCTTTACATCCGAACGCAACCGAAGCTTCCATAACGGCTAGCAGCAGTCGCTTTGTGTCTACCATCGGTGAAGATAAAAAAAGAGATAGCATTATTATACCTTCTCTTTCTAAGAAAACGAGGTGCAATGGAATCATTTTTCCGTCGATTCAACTCTCAGCTTCAATCTAGGCTTCAACTTTAAACGTTGTGAATAGTCTCGCAATATCAAAGGAGCTTGTAAAATCATTATCAAGCCTTATATTTTGCTCGCGTGATATTGAGAGCGTATGAGAGCGTAAAAAAATCAATTTGCTAATGATCATGCCATCACTGTATCAAATAGACAAGACAAATAATGGAGGTTGTCACCATTGCCATAAAGACGAAAGCCATAATGTATGGTAGCCAGAACAGAAGTTAGCCATAATTTTGATGTATTGGATTCTTTTAATCCAATTGCAATGCAGTACTCGTTATATGTATTTTGTCAACAAGCCCAAAAAGTAGTGTTGCCAAAACCGAACGGTTTTATTTTGAAATGTATTTTATGATTCCGATGATTTTTAAACACCGAGAAGTAGAGAGGAATGATCTCCATGACTAAGACTTTCATAATGTTAATTTTAATAAAAATTATGATAGCATGGAGCGAAAATACATAATCTTCAAAATTCGTTAAATCGAACCCCGTCCAAAAATGGAACGGCTTTATGGTTTTGTTGCGAAACTTGAACCATGCCAAAGTTAAACGGGTACTCACAAATAATTTCCCTCCTTAGAAAAAATGCAATGGAAATGCTCAAATCATTTCTTGCTTTCAGTTGATTCCCTCTTTCTACTATAAGTTGTTCTTTAATGGATAAGTGTTTTTTTTAAATGCTATCATAAAATACTCATCAACTATGTTACTCTTGAAGTTGATTCCTTCTTTGCATTCTGAGCTATTCTTTGACTGATAAAAGCTTTTGAAAATTGCTTCCGAAAATTTTCAAAAGTAACATCTTTCTTGGAGTTGATTCTTTCTTTTTAGCATGACGTGTTATTTCAAATTTTTCTTTTTAGGAAAATTCAATTGAAATATTCACAAATTATTTTTTTCTCTTGAAGTTGACTCGTTCTTTACATCAAGAGTTGTTATTTGATAGAAAAAAAAAGTAGAAGGTTCTGTGCCGAGGGGCACGAACGGAAGCTTGACGTAAGACTGCTAGTGGACGGAATGAATGTGAAGAGCATTTAGTTCTTTTAATTGATTGATCATCTTTTATCTTAACTCTTTCCGTTTTTGAATTGTAGAAGTACCAAATTTGTAGTAATTTTTTTTCAAAGAGAAAGTTGATGAAGATCAAAATCACTTGCATTCCTGCTGCTTCCAAGTTTGGTTACAAGATTACAACTCTCGAGAGCATTTTTTGTGGTCGTTGGGGGTGTGTGGTTCTGAATATGGACAAACAGGCACAGATAAATTCTATTCCAGCTCTTTACTGTAATAAGCTTGTTGGCCCTGAAAAGGCCCGTTTTGTTGCCAAACTTGGTGATGATTTAACCTCCGATACCGTTCAGAGTGCGTCTGTCGCTTCAAAGCGTAGACGACATCCATGGCCGCTTACGCTTGGCGTGTTCAGAGTAGGTGACAGTATCACGGATCACATTTTCCAGGAACACCTTCAGCACACCTCGTAGTTCAGACCGGAGATACGTTTGACACCGCCACGGCGAACCAGACGACGGATGGCGGTTATCACGAAGAACCTTGCGATGACGCTTGGCGCCTTCTTTACCAAGACCGTTTCCTCCTTTGCCACGACCTGTCATTGTTGCTTGTGAGGTACACTTATAAAATTCCACACATTTACGAATTTCCATGTGAAATTCCACATGATTTTCATGTGACCACACATTAACATAATCCACCCAGAAGCACACATGAAATTTATGAGTCAAATGAATAGTATGTGTGGTTACACATGGCTTTTATGTGTACACATTTTAAGTATGTGTCCGATACATTGATATCGTTTGTTGATCACATTGCAAAAGATCATATGTGGAAAACATAAAAACAATCTTTGGAATTTTATCAGTGTAGAAGAGTGAACTACCTAGCCCGAAACCACCTTCCTACTGCTGCTATTGCTGCTTCTGCTGCCTGCTCACCACGCCGTCCGAAGCGTTCAGTTGAGGCTAGACTGCAGCGCAATCAATGATGATGTGCAACCAAGTGGTACTCGGGCTTGGGAAAAACGTTTATTTCATGAAAATAGTGATTAAATTATCACTTTTTATTTGAATATTGGGCAATACTTGACATTACCACTTTTTCAATAGTTTCTTGTTGAAAGCATTGCTATTGATGCGTAGAAATGTTGCTGATCGATTGGTGATAAAATTATTGAAATTGGTCTAGGGAGAGCTGAGTTATTAATTTCAAAATCTTTCATAATTTTGTTACATTTTCCATTTTCGGTTTTCACAAAATGTACCCATATAGAAATCACAGACGAAGTCCTACGTCAAAATAGTTTGAAAACTCCAATTGAAAATTCTCAAAAGTAACAGCTCTCTTGGCGTTGACCGCTTCTTTATAGCATAAGCTGTTCTTTGATTATTTTATGATACATTCAATTGAAATATTCACGTACATCTGTCAGCAAAGATGTATTTGAAAAATGTAAGATAATTTTATTATAAGAATTATAGCAAATATCCAACGATAGCCACATTATGGCTAACGCAAACATACGAAAATAACAGCATGGCCAACGTTCATTCTGGCACTCGTCCTAATGGCAAACGTCCGTATGGTTAACGTATTTATGGTTAATGGGGTGTCATCATATCAATCATTTTCCAGGATGCTTTCAAGAGCTGGCTGTGTTGGTGTTACATTATATTAGATTAGGAAATGATTATTTGGATTGTTACAAAATGTATAGCATACACTACAAAAAAAAAGTCAGGTAAATTTCGGTTCCCTGAGACCGAAACATGTAAGCAATCCTTTTGACATAAGAATCAGTTGAAAGAAACGAGAAAATCAATTCAATCAAACGTTCTCTTTGTCGACTTGCTTACGGTGTTTGTGAACACTTAATTTTACATGAAATGTTTGTTTACGTTGTATGATTTACGTCCAATATGGATTACGTCTCGTGTAAAAGTAGTTATTTCTAAGTGCGCAAGTGTATAAATTCCTTCAAATCATAATTCTCAAAATATGTCTAAACTTTGCTTATATTTTCCATTTTCAGGTAATTTTCCATAAACTGATCAAAAGCGTTCACAAAGAAGACAACATTGAACACCGGATTGAACTTTAGGTTGGGTAAGCATGTTGAGAATTATGCCAGCTTATAGAACCAAATATGGATAGATTGCAAATAATTTATTACGTAAATTGATACGATGAATGGGAAGAGAACTACAAGAATTATTTTATCGGAGAAACCTCCTTCAAAACCATGACTTAATTTTTACTTGGGTGTAGCTCT